AATAAATACTTGAACCGGTTTTATTCCTACTATGGTAAATATGGATCGATAGAATCCACAGACACACAATTATCCCTGGGACCCTCACTAATTTCTAAGACTGTAGAGATGTCCTGAGAACAAAATGCTGGAGAATCAGTGACTCACGCAGCTCCTGGTCCACGGCTCAGGGACACAGTGGGACAAAGAGCGCTCTGTGCAGTAGGTGAGGCGTCCAGGCCAAGTCCCAGGTCCCCAGGCCCGCCTCTCAGGGACTCTGGCCCCAGGGCGGCGTCGGGGGCGGGGAAGCCCAGTGTTGGGGAGTCCCCATCTGCCCTGGTTTCACTTCTCCCTGTCACAACCTGTGTCAGGTCCTTCTGCCTGGATACTGATGACGCGGCCTCGGTTCACACTCCTATTAGTGTCCAGTTTCCGGAGGAGCCAATCAGCGGCACCGCGGTTCCGGGGTATCAAGTTTCAGCGCCCGCTTCCTGAGGCTGACATTTCTCCCCAGACCCCGAGGATGCGGGTCATGATGCCTCCAACTCTGCTCCTGCTGCTGTTGGGGGCCCTGGCCGTGACCCAGACCTGGGCGGGTGAGGGCGGGGTCGGGAGGAAAAGGACTCTGGGGGGCAGGAGCGAAGAAACCGCCCGGCGGGGAAGCGGAACCCCCGGGGAAGGCGACTGTCCACCGCCCGGACCCAGACCTCCACCCGGGCCTCCCCTCCCCCGTCCCACCCGGACTCCGTCCTGCTCTCCCCTACTCTGGTCCTCCTCCCCCTGCCCTCCCGGCCGACTCCCCCCTGGGACCCGAGTCCCGCGCGGGGAGGAGGGTCGGGCGGGGTCTCAGCCCCTCCGCGCCCGCAGGCTCCCACTCCCTCAGGTATTTCTACACCGCGGTGTCCCGGCCCGGCCTCGGGGAGCCCCGCTTCATCTCCGTGGGCTACGTGGACGACACGCAGTTCGTGCGGTTCGACAGCGACGCCCCGAATCCGAGGATGGAGCCGCGGGCCCCGTGGGTGGAGCTGGAGGGGCCGGAGTATTGGGACCAGGAGACGCGGAACGAGAAGAACAACGCACGGAATTCCCGAGTGAACCTGAACACGATGCTCCGCTACTACAACCAGAGCGAGTCCGGTGAGAGACACGGGCCGGGTCCAGGTCACGATCCCCATCCCCAAGGACGGGCCGGGGTCGCCCGTCCCAAGACCCCTGGGAGAGCCCGAGGGAGCTTTTAGGCGGGTTTACTTTCGGTTTCATCTTAATCACTGCTGCTCTGGGGGCGGGGCGGGGACAGGGTCGCACAACATCCAGTGGACATATGGCTGTGACTTGGGGCCTGACGGACTCCTTCTCCGCGGGTACACTCAGTGGGCCTACGATGGCGTGGATTACATCGCCCTGAACGAGGACCTGCGCTCCTGGACCGTGGCGGACACCGCGGCGCACATCACCCGCCGCAAGTGGGAGGTGGACAGTGCAGCGAAGGACTGGAAGAACTACCTGGAGGGCACGTGCGTGGAGTGGCTCCTCAAGTACCTGGAAAACGGGAAGGAGACGCTGCTGCGCGCAGGTACTGGGACCGCGGAGCCTCCTTGATCTCCCCTCCACTGGGCTGGTTGCCCACGAGGAAGGGAAAATGGACTCAGTGTCACAATAGCGCCCCTCCCACGGGTGGGAAGAGGGAGATCCCCCTCGGAGTTCATATGCCTACTAGAGACTGACTCACCTTGAGGGTGCTTTTCTCTAAAAGAGAGACAGGAATCCAGTCTCTCCCTGGGGTGCAGGTTGAGACATCCCTGAAATAACCCATCAGCAGTTCCCTCTGAC